AGTTGAAAACAGTGACATGCTTCATCAAAATCAGCCCAGTCAACAGCACTGTCTCTCTCACTCCTCTGTCCAATCCACTCCATCATCTCTCTGAGCGGTTTGCAACTGGTGACAAGGTACAAAATATTCACATCCTAGTTTTGCATGGCTACCCAATGCAGTATATGCTGGTATATTTCTTTTGACAATCAATTTTAAATTTACTGCTTGCACAGAGAATATCCATTGCTAGTTGTATGAAGGCTTTCATTTTTTTTCACTAGTGCATCACAATCGAGATGTTATTTTTCCACCTGCATAGAAATATTCACTGTACTAGCTACTGAGGTCCAAGAGGGCGCTGCTATCTATGTCATGTCAGGCAAGTCATTGTGAGCTAGGTTAAATCTGGGTCAGTGAGGTTCAATGTCCAATTGGCCTCATTGTCTATGAATCTCTCTCTGTGGTGCGTGCGTGTTATGCCATGACAAAAGCAGCAAACACATCTACTAGTGGTTCAGTGCAGACCTTTGGGTAGTCAGATTTGAGAGAATTCACCTTTAATCAGGTCTGTCCTTAACACCAGTCAATCAACACCACTTACAGTCTCTTCACTGTCTTCATATTTAGTACCATCGGGAGGTAACCTGTCATTCCATTTGGAGATTCTCTTTTGGATTGTGCCTTCATTTTAAAAACGTATAACTAAATGGTGTCTTTCTTTCTCACAGTTTCATACCATGTTCTACACAGGTACAGGAGGAGGCCATTCAGCCCCTTCTGCAGCCTGTTACACAGGTACAGGTGGAGCCTGTATTGCCTTCATTGGTCAGTGCATTGAGTATAGGAATTGGGATGTCATGTTGGGCCACTTTTGGAATCAATTCTGGTCTCCCTGCTATAGGAAAGATGTTGTGAAACTTGAAAGGGTGCAGAAAAGATTTACAGGGATGTTGCCAGGGTTGGGCGTGTTTGAGCGATAAGGAGAAGCTGAACCAACTGGCACTATTTTCCATGGAGTGTCGGAGGCTGAGGGATGACCTTATAGAGGTTTATAAAATAATGAGGGGCATGGATAGACAAATAGCCAAGGTCTTTTCCCCAGGGTGGGGGAGTCCAAAACTAGAAGGCATAGGTTTAAGGTGGGAGAGGAAAGATTTAAAAGGGGCCTGAGGGGCAACTTTTTCACATGTGTGTGTATGGAATGAGCTGCCAGAGGAAGTGAAGGAGGCTGGTACAATGACAACATTTAAAAGGCACCTGGATGGGTACATGAATAGGAAGGGTTTAGAGGGATATTTGCTAAATGCTGGCAATGGGGACTGGATTAACTTAGGATATCTGGTCAGCATGGATGAGTTGGACTGAAGGGTCTGTTTCTATGCTATATGACTCTGAGGCCATTCAGCGCCTCAAGACTGCTCAACCTATCAGCAAGATTATAACTGATCTGTGACCTAATTCCACACACCCTGATTATTTAAAGTCATCAAAGTTAATTTAAAATTAACAACTGATGGCGCATTAATTGCTGTTAGTTTGCAAAACCTCTCCCACACTTTGCCTGTGGGAATACTTCTTCGAATTTATAGGCAGTCAAGGAGTCAGAACAGAAGAGGCCTTTTGGCCGATGGAATGTGGGTTCCTGTCCTTAAACTACCATCTGTTATCCACCAGTAGTTGCCCTTGAAATGAATATTTTCCTAAGCCATATCAGAGGACAGTGAAGAGTCAACTGCTTGTGGAACTGATGTCATGTGCCAGACAGATTAGTTAATCATGGCAGATATTCCTCCCTAAAGGACATTTGTGGACTAGTTGGGCATTTTGTCATGGTAACCATCATTGATACTATTGCACATTTATGAATTGAGTCTAAATTTCACCAGTTGCTATGGTGGGATTTGAACTCATGTTCCAGATCATCAGCCTCTGGATTACCAGTCCATTACTACTGTGCCCACACTCTCCACTTCCACTCCTGTTTATATTTCTAGCCTATAAGTGGAGAGGCCAAGTCTGTCCCAAGGGCATCTAGCTCTGCAATACATGAAGATCCCATCTACCAGCATAGCTGGAATGGACGGGAATTGCTACATCAGGAGTAATTCTCCTCTTTACTCTCATGGGAAAATCAGGCCCTTCATATTTTTCAAAGGATTTGCTTAAGTAAAATGTTAAAATTCAAAATTTAACGATTCCCACTAAACTTGAATTAAAAGCATAGTCTTTTCCAGAATATGCCGCGTTGCTACATTTCCTAACTAAAAAAAGACCCTTATATACAACTCACAGCAAAAGCCTGTTAAAGTTCCTTTTAGATATAATTTAAAAGTTCACATATGTTATTTTGACGTCTAAACTGAAAACAAATGCAGGGACATTACTTTAGGTGTTTCTGGTAATAACTTCCCTCAGGGCTTTTTCTGCCACCCCTCTAATAGCATGCAGCTGAACAGGAGGATAATCATTTAAAAAGAAACATTATGCTACTTATAGTCATGGATATGCTGTTGTTGGCCGGCTGCCCTTTACAAATAATAGCAGATGTGAAGCTCATGACCCTTTGCAGAGGGAAACAAGTCCCTGATTAAAATTAGTGTTGGAAATAATTTAAAACTTAAAAAGCAGCAATTTTGATTGTGCAGTAGTGTAAAATAGGTGACAATAAATAGGCAGCTTATCTTACATTTAACTTTTAACTTCTGTGAGCTCCAGATTTTCACAGAAAAAAATGATTGAATTACAAAATATGATTCTAAAAAGTACTTGTTTGAAAAAAAACTTGGCATCCTGTGTAATTAAAGTAGAACCTGACTTATTTGGTCACTGCAAAGCACTAGCACTAGTCATGTTCTTGTATTTTTGAACTGCTTGCTGTTTTAGGACATTTGGAAGCTATTTGCTAACTTTTGTGGGTTTTCTGAATTGACATATCAATGATGATATCAAAGAGATTCTTGATTAACAGAAGTTCAAAGTATTTACAGATTTGTGCCCTGTGAAATTTTGGCTGTTATCTTTAAACTATTGTAGGGTTTTGCTATGGAACATCTGTTGATTCTATATCAGTTGAAGAAGACAGGAACTAAAATATGTAACTGTAGCTGTGAGAGTTCTGGATGACCTACCAATATTGTCCATGTAATCTAACATGGAATGCAGTCTGTGCTTCAACCACATAAATACTAAAGAGATGCTTTTTGAACAATCAGAGGTCAAGACCTTGTTTCTTTCTGAGCCATTTCAGAGTAGTAATAGGATGGTTTTGTAGTACAAGATATTGCGTTAAACTTTACATCTTCATAGTATTGGAAAATGTGACTGGGATCAGTAAATGAATACGGTAACTGTCTTAGGCATTTGCTGCAAACAAAACCTCCACCTTGAAAAATAAATTTTGAAACCTGGTACCTATCGGTAACAGCGTGTTAACTATGAAAATTTGCACAAAATAAGATATTCACTGGTGCCAAATTAATAGCAAATGATGTAAATATTTCACAAACTAAACAATAACAAAATACTGCTCAAGGTAAACAAAGTGTTGTTTCATGGGCTTTGAGAAGTTAAAAAAAAACTATCAAACTGCACAAAAAAACAAAGAAGACAACATGTACTATTTCAACGGCCAGGATTCTGTCGGACCATGGAGAACCAGCAAGGAATCTCTGAATTCTGTGGGGGATGCCAATCAGAGTCCAATGCTTCTCAGGCACTTCAGCGGCCACCACTGGGCCTTTCTCATGATTCAGGCCCTCTGTGGTAAAAGTCCTGCCTGCTGAGAGCTGCCAGGCACACAGAGGCTGGCAACACCTCATAGCTCCAGCGCCAGCAGGTCGCAGGTGATTGTTAGTGCGGACACCCTCCAGAGATCTAGAATCGTTTTGGAACCTCAGCCACAGATTAATGAGGATGGGATGGGGATCGTGGGATGAGGAGTCACAGAACAGGGAACATCGATGGAGCTTTCAATAGCTCCCTCTTTTCCTGGTGCCGGGTTGCTTGACTGGGCACAGAGCTTCTGAGGCCCATGGAAAATCCCTGAGCCAGCACTAGTTTGTGATGGAATAGAAATAGTGGGTGCCATTCAGTCATTAAAGTGAACTTAATGCCATTTGAAAATCTGCATCAGTCCCATCCGCCCTCTAATTTAGTGGGGTGGTTTTGCTGTCATAAGATTAATATAGAATCTCTACAGTGTGGAAACAGGCCAATTGGTCCAACAAGTCCACACCACCAGTCTGAACAGTGTCCCATCCAGACCCATGCCCCTACCCTTTCCCTCTAACCCTACATTTCCCATGGCTAATCCATCTAACTTACAGACCCCTGGACACTATGGGCAATTTAGCATGGCTAATCCACCTAACCTACACATTTTTGGACCAATGGAGGAAACTAAAGCAAACACACACAGTCACAGGGAGAATGTGCAAACTGCACACAGACAATTGCCCAAGGCTGGAATCAAACCCAGGTCCCTGGCGCTGTGAGGCAGCAGTGCTAACCACCGAGCCACCGTCCTGCTTAGGGCTTCACCCATACTTATGTAGATCCAGGCATTATTTTTCCCAGTGTGATGGGCTGCACAAAATCTAACTCATTTAATATATCAAAGGCACAGCACAACTACACTCATTGAAACGAAGGGAATAAAACATGATTTTTTGTTTACAGTCACTCATGGGATGTGGTGTTGCTGGCTGGCCAGCATTTATTACCCATCCCTTGTTACCCCTGAGAAAGTGGTGGTGAGCACATGCAGTCCATTTGCTATAGGTTGATGCATTTGCCCTTAGGGATGGAATACAGCTCACAACATTGTGCTACTAATGAGAAATCAATGGAAAGCTGTTTGAATGACAGGATTTTCATTTTCTTCATTGGGTGATAGATATTTCTTTTTTTTAACGTGTTGAATAGTTTGCATAATACCTTGTAACCTGTGAATTTTCTTGTGCAAAAAAAACACTGATGGGGAAATTGACATTTTTTTTTCCATTCTATAAATGTCATAGAACTGAGAAAGATATTGCAGTAGAAGATTTCCAGACATATGCTGAAAAGGTGCAAACCTCTCTACATGGATGCCCAGCTGAAACTCATCCAGCAGCAATTATTCAGAAACATCAAAAGTATGCTGCTAAAGCCAAGAGAGGTCGAGGTAGAAAGGTAATAATTTCTTGTCATATTGGTATTTTTGTTCATCAAAAGTTTTGGCAACTTCCATAAATGTAACGGCTATTATTTACTTTCCCAGACATCTGTTCAAGCTTTCCACATTGTCTCAGTGACATGATCCTATCATAAAATAAATATTTATTAAGAAAATAAACCTAACAAATCAAAATTTGTCATGGACTTAAAACCCTAGTGGCAAGCATTGTATGCATTCACTGATACCGATTTATTGAAGCTCCCTTCAACTTCTTGATTTGCTGCACAGATGCCCAGAATTTACTAATGGACATTATTTATAAGAAATTGAGAATATCTCCACATACACAAATAATCATCAACATAATACAACGTTATTAGAGGTAGCAATTAGAAGCCTGCAGAGTACTGAATTCTGATTATTCTTTAAAAAAATGAAAAATTGGCAAATTGTTCATAACAGCAAAATATTCAAAATTAGGAGAAACTTGTTAACAATTGGGCAAATTGCAAGAAATATTCATTTTCTTTTACATAGAAATAGCAATATGAAATCTGTTACCAGGAAAGGATTTTGAAGTGAATAATACAAATGAATTGAAGAGTTGAATCTCTGTTCTTGAGAGAATCAAGGGGGAAAAGATTCATTCAAACAATGGTCTATTGTTCCTAAAATTTCTTGGGGTCTATCTGCTTGCTTTGCATTGCAACCATTGAATTGCCTAGCTGCAAGAAAAATTGGCTGGGGAGGAATTAGACTCTTAACAGCAGATGCCTCATTTTTAATTAATTAGCACATTAAAATCATACAGGCTCCCTAATAATGCAAAAGCACAGTAATTTGGTAATGGAAAGTGAAATGAAAACAAAATTATTGCTGGAAAATTCACCTATTAGACATCGTTAATGGCAAGAAAAACCAAGCTAATCTTTTAGATTGATAAGCTTTCTTAAGAGCTGGGAATGTATTTGTGGGCCATGTATATCTTCCTGCCTGACATTTCTCTGTTGCTTTAAGATGGTCCAGCGACAGGCACAGAATAGTAAGGTTTGCTTTGTCATGCTGGAAAAGTGTAGACAAACCCAGGTATTACTAGAGTGGATGCTGTTGACTTTCGCAACTTGAAGTGTAATTTTTCAGATGTGGGTTTCCATATATGGTGCTTTCATTAGATACGAGTGTTGATTGCAGAATCAGTCTGATGGTGTTACAGTCCTATATCAGACTTTTCCTTCTATCACAGAATGTGGGTATTACTGGCGAGGTGAACATTTGTTATCCTCCCATAATTACCTTTGAAATGGCTTACTTGACCATTTGAAGAGGGCAGTTAGATGTCAGTAATAATACTATGTATTTGGAGTCACAAACAGGCCAGATCAGGATGGGATGACAAATTTCTTTCCCTAGGGGACATTCATAAACCAGATGGGTTTGACAGCAATTGGTGAGAGTTTTCTGGTGACCATAACAGAGAGTAGCTTTCAATTCCAGATTATTTTTAGTTAGTTGAATTTAAAATAAAATGGAAAACACATATTCCCCACTTGGAGGGACCTCCATGCAAAAGCAAAACCTCACTTAATAAAGTATGCTAACTATATTTATGTGGGAAAAGTGAAACATCAACAGAAATAATAGCTGTCAATTAACTTTATTCTAGATGCTTAGTTCATTTTGTGAATAAATGTTTTCAAATGTTCATTTGGCAAAGGTGAACAGTGGCACAGCAGAATTACGAAAAGTTGCAGTAATCTACAGTGGAAAGCCAAAAGGAAATGACCTGCATGAAGTGGCACGCTGCTATCTACCAACTAATCCCAAGACAATCCAATATGCCCATCAATATGGTGGCATTCCTAACAGTCGGCAGGAGATTTTTGGAATCCCTGAATATTTCAATCGCAAGTGAGTAACTGCAGTTATTTACAGTATATATTAATGATTTGGATGACAAAGAATAGGTGGGAAGGCAAGAAGCAATGATGACACAAGGAGTTGACTAAGGTGTACGTACAGGTTAAGTAAATAGGCAAAAACTGGGGAAGATGTAACATAACGTGTGAAAATATGTGACAGTGTCAAAAAAAAAGGGGTCTCTAGTTTATCGAGTCACCAGCTATGTACCCAAACGCATCTCATGCCACTACCCAGAACTCACTGGCACACATGCTGTTTAAAAGGAAGTTAAGAGCCACATTCGATCTGTTGCTACCCGAAGAAACACAGAAGGTTGTTGAAAAGAATCAATTGGCCCAGATACACTCTTTTTCAGGGTGGCTAAGTACTGGCACTGAGCTACAATATGACTGACAAAGTGGGTATCTGACGAGGTCCTGCCCAGCGAGGAACTGTATCTGACACAGACTCAGGATGGTATCATGTGGCAAAGGCATGCTGCCAGCTGTTAGCAACACAGCCTCAAGTGTCGGAGCTCCCATCACCACAGCTTTAAGACGGGGCCTCTGCCTCACTTCCTGTATGCAGCACACTGTCCCCGGAGCAACCCACCATAACTGATGAGGATACTGCCCTTGTGGAACAGACTGTCTGTATGCCCCCTAAGGATGAGCCTGCTTTACCTAAGGTTCCCAGTAGGTGAATCCTGCACCAGAATTAAGAAAACAGCCAGCATGAAACAGGCACCCACCAAACAGATTCTCAAATGAAGTTGAGCCTCCTGTTTATAGTATCTAGTGGAAACTGTGCATCATGTCCATGTAAATAGTTTTGCTGCTTGTACAAACAAATTATGTTTGGAAATATGTAAACACTGGATTGTTTGTTTAAGGGGAATTTTGAAAGTAAAGTGGAAGGGTTGTTATGTATTATAGATGGTGTACATTATGTTGTGACAGTGTTCCTTTAGGCAGTGAGGTACATGATCACTGGTGAGTCACACTGTTTTGTGTTTTCTTAGACTGCACAGCTACAGAATAAAACCTCCCTGTTGGGTTTGCAGCAAATGACGAGTTTGAAGCTCTTAATTCTGACTGGAAGCTGGTAACTGTCCAGTACATAATAATATGATACTTAGTGATTTAACAGCAGAGGTGGAGAGTTTGTTCCCCTCGTGGGAGCATCGAACACCAGCCTCAGAACAAGGAGCCACCCATTTAAGATAAAGATGGGGAGGATTTTTTTTTTCTCACAGCGTGTAGAGGATCTATAGAATCCTTTACTGCATAGGGCTATCAAAGATGAGTCATAAAGTATGTGTAAGGCTGAAATAGCGAAAGAATCAAGGGAATGGGAATGAGGCAGTAAAGTGGAGTTGAGGATTATAAGATCAGCCAGAATCTCATTGAATGAGAACGCGGAGCTGCTGGACCAAGTAGCTGACTTCTGGTCTTCTGTCCTAATGTCTTCTAAAGATGCTTTCATTATTATGTTAATGTTTGGGGAGCTGTGCTAACCTGAAGTGCGTTTAGGATCCTCCTCCTATTTGTGGAAGGATAATCACTATATATTTAGCTGGCAGTGAAGTGTAGATGTGGAATCCTCAAGCTGACAACATTTGTAGCTAATTCTTTGTAAGGGCAGGGGTTAGGTACATTTAAATAATTTTTTAAAAACTGTTTTGGTGCTTATTTTCAAGCATTGAACTTACTTTCCTGCAGCACAACATCATCATTTATTTACTGGGTTCCTCTGAAGCTCAATTATATGGAAAATAATGGGATCTGTCCTCAGTCTGCATATATTCTTTGGTAGAATATGTGGAAATTCCTTTTGAAGACCAAAATCCTTTTCATCCAGGTCCCAGCCTAAATTGTGACGTTTGATATGACCTCCTGCTAGTACTATGCCTGAAGAGTGGCAAAATTGTCTGAGATTTTTACCTGTAAGACATTCTGATGGTACCAAAGTAGCTTATGCTCTACGAAGGTAAAGTCAATGCATTGAAATGGATTCATTTTATTATATTAATTGTGATGGTATTTGCATTTTCAGATCCCACTTCTCTGTCAGTATCAGAACCAAATCTTCACATGGACTTATATTTTATGTGGCAAATAAAAAAGAAGACCAGTTCATGACACTTTTTATTGCCCGTGGTCATCTTATTTACTCATTCAGTAATGGTCGTGAAAAATTGAAAATAAGAAGTTTAGAGAAATATAATGATGGTCTCTGGCACAATGTAAGTGAGACAAAAATATCATCAGAATGCTTTCCAGTTCTTTTCTCTTTGAAGGAATATATTTCATACAGTGCACAGTAATATATCTGTGGTATATATGACATACATTACAACGATGAATCTGTTGTGATGTAAAAACAAAAATATTTTATTGACAAAATGCACCATATCACTGTGTTTGTAATCAAAATATCAGCATTCAGTTAACACTTGCGCTCTTATATTGGTGGCATTTTAATACTTCATAAAGATGGATTGGATGCACATTGGACCCAGTTCCTTTTTTAAAATTAAATTTTGTTCTAAACCTATATTTTATCCCAATTCTAAGCTCCTGTTTCAAAATATAGAGAACTAAATGAATCCTCATATTTTTAATCAAACTAAGTGTGTTTATTTGTGTGTGACCCGTCCTGAGAATGCCGTTTTCAACTGGCCTTACTCACCTCTGCGCTAGTAGAACTACTAGGTTAGGTAAGTGAACTAAAGAGAGTCAATATCACTAAAAACAGATTATCTGGGCAGCGTCGCATTACTAATTGTAGGAACTTGCTAAGTACAAGTTGTTTATAAAGTTTCCTACATTACAATGGTGACTACACTTCGAAATTCCTTCATTTTCGATAAAACCGTTTAGTACATCTTGAGGACATTAATGACATTATATAAAGACAAGTTTTACTGTTTTGTCTTTTTAGGTATGCTCATTATATTAACTAAGCTCAATATAGACTAACACATTTCTCTTTATAATTGCAATAATAATTGCTACTTAATAATCAAAAGTTAGCAATGAAATACTACAGGCATTGAGCTTATACTGATTGTCAATGCCTATCTCTGAGTCCTTTGTAGTCATTACCTTAATATTTCCCCTGTTGAACTTTGAAGGAAATTTTAATGAAGTCATTTCAAACCATACATGTAATAATTTTCATTATTGCTGAAAGTAATAGCCAACGAATCAGCATTCCCCTTTCATGCATTCTTGTGAATTGTCCTGATGAGTACAAAACAAAAAGCTTTGGCAAAATGTGCTTTTTCAGCAATGCTAAAATTCTGTTCTATCGCACAACAATTTTCATTATGGTTGTATGCTAACAATTTAGTGGTTCTCAAACTGTTTTGGTTGAAAGACTCCTTTTCAAATGGATTAATAAACAAGGGCTCTTTATCCAAATTATAATGTTATATTGTATAATATTCAAGTTATGAAAATACTGCATATAAAGAGCATTTTAATTGTACTTTTAAGAAAACAGCTTTGTTTTGCAGCAATCAATAGGTTATATTCCTGCTTTTCACTGTAGAATGCTTAATTGACAAGAATATGGAGAGTAGGAGCTGGGGAGAGCAGTACATGGAGGAAGCACTAGGGGAATGAGGCACAGAACAAATATGATCAAAACTGAATAGGGGTCAACAGAGCAGAGCATGGGGAAAGCAATAGGGAGCAAATATACCAAGACTTGGTTGAACTCACTTGTTTACGTGGGTAATGCTTATGCATTCAGGCTCTCTGATAAAGGGAGCTGAATGGAGGTACTTCATCATCATCATCGAATCCCTACAGTGTGGAAACAGGCCCTTCAGCCCAACAATTCCACAACTACTTCCAGAGCATCTCACCGAGACCCATCCTCTACAATCCACCTAGTCTACACATTCCTGAACACTGCAGGCAACTTAGCATGGCCAATCCACGTAGCCTGCACATCTTTGGACTGTGGGAGGAAACCAGAACACCCAAAGGAAACCCATGCAGATACGGAGAGAATGTACAAATTTCACAAAGACAGTCACCCGAGGGTGGAATCGAATCCTGGTCCCTGGGCTAACTACTGAGCCGCTGTGCCACCCTCACAGGTCAAGATTTCGACATTATGTCCATAGAAACTCTATTCTACATCTAGCAATTTCTGTTTCTGTGACTTGCATGTGACCTGTCATGTTCACGATCAGCACTGAAATGAGGAAACCTTCCCAACAATGTGGGCTTTGTCAAGTCATTGGCAGATGTACATTGGGATACAGACTGCCTGTAACTTTTACACCTCTATATATCATTAAAAAATAATTGAACAAAAAACGGAGAAAAAAATTTCCAAGTTCAATCATTTTTAATGCACTATGTTTAGATCAACTAAAATTTTCTGTTTCTGTTTCGTTAAGGTTATCTTCACACATGAAAATAATAAAGGACGTTTAATAATAGATGGTCTCCACATTCTAGAGGGTAGTCTCATCAGTCCTGTTTATCCATGGAATGTAACTGAACCATTTTATGTAGGTGGTGTGCCATTGGGAAAAGCTGCCAAAAACATTCAGGTAAGTTAAGCTAACTATGTATTTTTTTAAATTCATTCATGGGATGTGGGTGTTGCTGGCTGGGGCAGCATTTATTGCCCATCCCTAGTTGCCCTTGAGAAGGTGGTGGTGAGTTGCTTTCTTGAATTACTGCAGTCCATGTGTCGTAGGAGACTCACATGGCAGTAGGGAGGGAATTCCAGGATTTTGACCCAGTGACAGTAAGAAACGGTGATGTATTTCGAAGTCACGAGTGGCTTGGAGGGGAACTTGCAGGTGCTGCCGTTCAAATGTATCTGGTGCCCTTGCCTTTCTGGATGGAAGTGGGCATGGGCTTGGAAGGATCTTTGGTGAATTTCTGCACTGCATCTTATAGATAATACACACTGCTGCTACTGAGTTTTGATGATGAAAGGACTAGATGCATGTGGGTGTGGTGCCAATCAAACAAGCGGCATTTCCTAGATGGTGCCTTTTGAGTGTTGTTGAAGTTTCACTAAACTAGACAAGTGGGGAGTCTTCCAACACATATCCGACTTGCATCTTGAAGATGGTGGACAGATGTTGGGAAGTCAGGAGATAAATTATTCACTGCTGTATTTCTAGCCCCTCACCTGTTCTTGTAGGCACTGAATTTATATGGCTACACTAATTCAGTTCCTGATCAATTTAAACCCCCAGGATGTTGATAGTGGGAGATTCAGTGATTGAATGTCAAGGAGTTAATAGTTAGATTGCCTCTTATTGGAGATGGTCATTGCCTGGTGGTGGTGTGGCATAGATGTTACTTGCCAGTTTTCACCCCAAGCCTAGATATTGTCAGGCCTTACTGCATCTGGACATGGACTGCTTCAATATTTGAGGAGTTGAAAATGGCGCTGAGCATTATAATCATCGGCAAACATCCCCACTTTTGACCTTATGATGGCCAAACCATTGTAGCATTGTATTCATGTATTTCAAGCACATTTTGCTTTTTTTCTGTACAGGCTATTCTGTCAGCTTATCAGCCAAATATAAGCTTTCAACAAAAAAGTTCTTTAAATAGTATGACAGGCTGTCAGAAATTCAGTACTATAATGAAGGGAGTAGGTTTCACTTTGGTTACAAACATAATATGAACAACTGTCGATTACACATTGATTTGAACTGGGGGCCTTTGTGCACTCACCTGATTTTTCATTTCCACTGTCTTCAGATTTTAAAATATTTTACTAATTTTGTTGAGGGTGATTTCCTGAAAGGGTTTCTTGGAAAGGTCAAAGTTTTTGTAGTTGAATTTCCTCTTTAAATCGTTCTATTTTGGGTGTCTCCATAACCCAGACTACCATCTTGTAGTTAAGAAATCATTTCCATCAGTCCAGTTTAAAGTGAAAAGGGAATTAAAGGATTGACATCAAAGGGCCTGGAGAATCTTTGAAATCAGGTGCAGATTCTCTTAGAGGAGCTGAAGATCTTCATATATTAAGAGACAGAAACAGGTCAATTAACCCATATCCTGGTATTTTTCTGCCATATGGGGCATGCAATTCAATGGTGCTCTGCTGCTCCCTTTTTCATTGTATATTTTAAGATTATTATATTGAAGTAAACATTAACAATCTCTGCTTCAGCAATTTAGGCACAGAATTTCACATCATGGTCAATATCTATAATTGTTGTTAGACAATTGACCAATGTTGTGGATAGCGAGGGGGAGCGTCAAGGCGAGATAATTCTGACACTGTGTCACTGCCTGAGAATTGAAGGGTTTGTCTTGCTGACGTGAAGAAACCATCCACAGTGTGATGACTGCTTAGATTTTTCTTATGGCCAGACTATCTAGGCGAGAATTGGCAGAGACAGGGACAATAGTTACAGTTGGGCAATAGAAATAAAGCAACTCAGCACTGTTCTGAAGAAGGGTCACTGGACCTGAAACACTAACTAAGCTGCCAGATCTGCTGAGCTTTTCCAGCAATTTCTGATTTTTGTTTCTGATTTCCAGCATCCACAGTTCTTTTGGTTTTTACTCTTAGAATTCATGCTGCCATGGAGATGGACTTTGAGAGGGGAAGGGTCTTTAGGAAGCCACTGTAGGTTTTAAATTTAAAAATTCCTTTCAGTAGTTGGCAATCTCAATGAAGTTCATAACAGACTCATCAAAGAAAATAATAACCAGCACAATTAAATGTTGTTTTCTTACCAGAGATAGGCTGTTAAATGCAAGCAAGAATTCTGATAGAAATCTGTTCATCCCAACAGAATTGACCCTGGAAGTCATGCACCATTCTTTGCAAAGGCAGCACTACAAAGCATAAGACACTGGTTTGAACATTTAATGGCAATGCAGGTAACTGCGTGAATTAATAAAAATGTATTTTTCCTCAGGTCAAGTCAATCCAAAGTTTTAATGGCTGTCTTCGGAACTTCCAGCTAAACAGGTGGCGGTTGTTACCCGCTAGTCAGATGTTTGGTGTTACACCTTGCTTCGAGGGTCCGACTGAACCCGGAACATACTTTTCCGCAGAAGGAGGATATGTGATTTTGGGTAAATCAAATAAACACACTTTACCATTTCCATCTCCAAATGCATATATAGGAAGCAAATGTAGTTCTTTCAAAGTAGACTGGAAGTGAGGCCTTCAGTGGTTGTAAAATGAATGCCATTCCCAGGGAGGTATCTTTAAACAGTGAAACATGGACTAAATAAGCCACTACTTTATTTCGAGAATGAAAGGTTTAAATAATCTTAGGCAAGGCTATAACATCCTGATCAGATAGACACATGGCTTACCATACGTGGAAGCTCGATAACAGTAAAGTAGAGTGCAAAACTGCCATTGTAGAACTGGTGATGTATAATTTGTTATTGTGCAATAATCAGAATTTCTGCCCTTGATTTTCAGATGATTCATTCAATTTAGGATTACAGTTTGAGCTTGTTTTTGAAATTCGTGCAAGAAATCATTCAGGAATACTGTTACATATTCACAGTTACCAGCGGAAGTACCTGAATCTCTTCATGGAATATGGACAGGTAAGAGAAAATCTTAGCGAAGTTTTCTCTCACTTGTACATATTGGATCACCCAAGTGCAGAGCAAAGGAGAAGTGTTCTGTGGTAGTACTGTAGTGGAGCCAAAGTGCTTTTCAGTCCATTAACTTACTGATGTACTTCTGCCAGGTTTTCTCTCTAAATGCTTTTTTTTTGGCAGGTAATATTAAAAGTCAGCAATGGAACTGCAGAATTTAAAACATCAGTGTCTCCAAAGCAAAGTCTGTGCGATGGCCGATGGCATCGAATAGCAGGCAAGGGTCATTTTAATTACTATGCTCATTTACAAATTTCCCATGGAGCTCTTAACTCAAGAACAAAGTACCCTCAAGAACCTAATCTTAGGCAGTCACCGTTATTATCAGAATTAGGGCAGAATATTTTTGGCTATTAGTGGCAATAACAAAAATTGAGGCCATACATTCAATCAATCACTCACACTGTTTTCAAATTTTTTTAATACAACGACTGTGCTGACATCGATACTTACTATCTTGGTGAGCACAAAGAAATTAATGGCCATTGGTGCAGGGAAACAGGTGACTTTCTCCTTGAGGTGCCCAGTGCTGGCATTAAATATTATAGCACAATATGGGGGTTAGTTAGCTCAGTTGACTGGATGGCTGGTTTGTAATTCAGAGTGATGCCAAACAGCACAGGTTTAATTCCTGCACCAGCTGAGGTTACTATGAAGGACTGTTCCTCTCTATCTCTCCCCTCACAAGAGGCACAGTCACCCTCATGTTAAACCAGTTGTCTCTCGCTAGAGCGAGTACAGCCTTACAGTCTGGTAGGATTGTGGCACTTTTCCTTGCCTAGAATACAAATAAACACCAAATAAAGATTCCTATATACTCTGGCTAATAACATATCTCAGCACTAATCTTAAACAAGCACACCCCGATGCAGGAATTTCCAATTCTTTTTTGGTTTTTGTTAGTATCAAGAATTGTTGTTTTTACATTCTGAGGCTCTTCACTTGGATGAGAGTGGTATCGTGGATGAATTCGTATATTGATCGCCAAACTGATGACACTTTTACATGGCTGGCTACATTTGGGACTCTTAGAAGGCTTTTGTCCTATATAAGAAATTGATATGTAAAGCACATGGAACTTGAGGTAGTGTATTGAGATGGATAGAAAATTGTCTGGCAAACAGGAGGCAAGAGTAGGAATAACTGGGTCTTTTTCTGAATGGCAGGCAATGATGATTGGGATACTGCAGGGATCGGCACTAGGACCGCAGCTTTCACTGTATATGTTAACAATTTAAATGAGGGAACAAATGTAATATCTCAAATGACACAAAGCTGGATAGAAGAGTGAGCTGTGAGGAGGATGGAGAGATGTTGCAGTGTTCATTTATACAGGCTGAGTGGGTAAATGCATGATGCTGTATAATGTGGATAAATATGAGGTTGTCCACTTTGGTAGCAAACATAGGAAGGCAGATTACGATTTGAACAGCTGTAGATTGAGAGAGGGGAATGTTCAAGAAGACCTGGGTACCTCATACACGAGTCACTGAAAGTACGTGCTCGGGAACAGCAGGCATTAAAGAAGGCTAACTGTAAGTTGGCCTTCATAGTGAGAGCATTCGATTACAGAAATAAGGATGTCTTGCTGCAATTATACGAAGCATTGGTGAGGCTACACCTGGAATATTGTATGCACTTTTAGTCTTGTTATCTGAGGAAGGATGTTCTTGCTATAAGGGGGTGTGCAGCAAAGGTTTACCAGGCTGATACCTGGAATGACAGGATTGCTGTATGAGGAGACGCTGAGTCAGTTAGGATTGTATTCATTGGAGTTTAGAAGAATGAGGGGGATCTCAGAGACCTACACGATTCTAATAGGAATAGGCAGGTTAGATGCAGAAAGGATGTTTTAGATGACTGGGGAGTCCAGAACCAGGGGTCATAGTTTAAGGATAAGGGGTAGACCTTTTGGGACTGAGATGAGGAAACATTTCTTCACCCAGAGAGTGATGAGCCTGTGGAATTCACTATCACAGAAAGTGATTGAGGCCAAAACACTGTGTTTTCAAGAAAGAGGTAGATGCAGCTCTAGTGGCTGAAGGGATCAAAGGATATAGGGGGAGGACGGGATTAGGGCACTGAACTTGATGATCAGCCATGATCATAATGAATGGCAGAGCAGGTTTGAGGGTTCAAATGGCCTACTCTTGCTCCTATCTTCTACGTTTCTATGGTACGTGGGCATATAGCATTGATCCAATAGGAACAAATATGTAGTTTAATTCAGTGTGTCCATCAATTCACATACGCCTCAAGTTTCTGACACTGATGGGTATTGATAATTTAACTAACAGAATCACAGAATTGTTATGGTGCAGAAGGAGGCCATTTGACTCATCATGTCTGCACAGGCTATCTGAATGCCATCCTTTCCCCATTACTCTGTGCATTGCTGTATTCAATTATCATCTAATGAACAAAAACAGAACTTGCTGGAAATTGCTGGCAGCATCTGAGGAGAAATTAGAGTTAACGTTTCAGGTCGAGTGACACTTCCTTAGAAGCCACCCCTTTAAACATGCTGTCTATGTATCTTCTAGCCTTGAGATGCATACAGTGACTTTAGCTGCTGCTTTTCTCCAGCCAGTAACACTTCCTGCACATGTTCATCTAGGTCACGTGGAGTGTCCATGATTTCCCAAATGCTACACAATAGACAGTCCACATGACTAAAGTATTCTGCCTGAACATCAGCTTACTTTATACTATTTGTTGTAATTGAAGATTAGTGATTAATGAACATACAGTCACGTGTGATAGAAACAGAAAATAGCTGCAGGAGTAGGCCAGTCAGCCATTTGAGCCATTCATGATGACCATGGCTGATCATTCAATTCAGCCCATTCCTGCTTCTCCCCATATCCTTTGACCTCTGTAGCCCTATGTGCTACATCCAACTTCTACTTGAAATGACCTACCCCTTACTGAGGACGAACGGTCAGTCCTCAGTAAAGGGCTCACCTTTGTCCCCCTCCACCCACAGATCAACGAATACCGCTCACGCTTGGACATAG